GTTAAGGCCCAACGCGGCCAAGCCGTACCGTGCCGTACCGAGCGTGGCCGAGGCCGACCGTGTGGTGGAAATGCGCCAAAAGAGCAGCATGCGGCTCGAGAGCCGCGGGTTGCCGACCCCTGGGTTAGTTGAAAGCAATAATATTAAAGGTAGGGTAGGTAAGTTTGAGAAACCGGCTCGAGATACACTTTTTGTTATATTCCATGGAATGCTCTTAACATCCCGATAGCAATGAATATCTTAAGTGCTTTGACAAAAAATCCATAAAAAAATGTCATCTGTGTAAAAAGCACGACCAATCATTTTAGCCGGCCCGGCTAAAATAACTGGATGGCCTACCTGCCTGTCAGCCTTTCATCTGTGCACAAACTTATCTCGTGCCCTCATTGGTCATGTGCGCGTTCGTGTGTGTTGGAGGAGGGGCTCTGTAAGGAAGTGGCAGATTTTCTCCGGTTGTGTATTTTCAAATTCTAGCGATCTCGAGTCGGTTTCTCAAACGTACCTACCCTACCTTTAAGTTGAACCTACATTTTCTACTTAAACTTAAGTTAATAGTATTGCTTTCAACTAACCCAATACAATTATGTGTTATCTGTTTACATAAAACATTTATTTAAGTCAACGTTTCACTTTTGAGTGTAGTATGAAGTGTTTTCTTCTTTTAAAGTTTCCAGTGTTTTTTCCAGTGAAATTATATTGCCATTGTCAAGAGAAATATATATTTATTTGGTGACCCCTTCTTTCTGTTTACAATACAAGATTTTTAATCTATTAAGGATGCATGATTATAGTAGATGCTGTTTTTTACCTAACAAGGAAAGATAGGAAGTATCTGTGCAAGATATGATGTGAAGTTATATATAAAAGGAGTGCGTACATCTACTGGGTTAGAGTCTAAGCATAAAATAATAAACACAAAACTGCAAAGAAATGGGTGACATGCTGAGTGCTCTTCTGCCCAAGAGCCACTGCCACAGAAAAAACTAATATAGGAAAAAGGGAAAATAAATAAACATATTTAAGCTAAACATTTTAACTTCTTATCTCGAATAACTAGCCTACTAATATCATTGCTCAAGACTCTGAGAGGATAGAAAGCCTCCTTAGCAGCCCCTGCACTTCCTCTCCACTAACTCCCACAATGTTCAGAAACCTTCTCGCCGCCTCAACAACTTTTTTCGATTCCTTCAGATCTTCTTTCTGCCTCAGCAGCATAGATGATCACCATGGCCAGAACTTAGTCTTGTCCTTACTCAAACAATAATCCTCATGACTCCTATACACTCTCTGGTTTCTAGAATCTTCCCTTTCTTTGGTTCTTCTTCGTCTTGCATTATTCTCTTGGAACTATTCTTGATTATTTTAATATCACTTTCTCTCTTTGGACAATCGGATCTCGATGCTTCGTGATTTCCCCCCACACTGACTACACTTTGGCTCATTCTCACAGTTTCTACCGCTGCAAAGCTTATCCCCACATTTTCCACAAATCCCCAAAGAGTGTCTGCAGACCAAAGAGCTGTGACCGTCTGCACTGTATTGGCAGCAGCAGGATCACGATTTGAATCTACTGCCATAAAGTGAGTCCGGTACTCCGTCGACGACATCTTTTGCTGGAGCTCTATTAAATAATTTGAAGCTCGACACTTGGTATTCCTCCAATGTTATTAATCTTAACGCTTTCTTTTGCTGTGCTTATGACACACACTCCACAATGATCAATCCACTTCTCAACTAAATGTACATCGCCCAGTTTGTCCATGATCCAACCTCCACATCGTGCTTGTCAGACAGAAGTCCAGCCATATTGCTCCCAGTCAGTTTTATACCAGCCAAGTATGTTTTTTCTTTGTTGTCTTTATTATCACTATTACTTGACAAATGTTCTCTTTCCTTCTTTTTACTTCCTGGTTTAGACCCCTGCTCCTTTCCACACTGCAGGAATTTATAGCAATGCTGGCCAGTCCATAGTTAAGGTCAGGGGAGAGAAGACTCTAAAGATGGGTGGCTTAGGTGAAGTGGCTTCTTTAAACACCCCTCAAGTTTAAAGGGAATGGCACAGTCCAATGAACCAGGCACATCTACACGGGCAGGTGATCTGCAAGATACTGACAAAACTTGGGTTAACACAACACACAATTAACAATCACTAAATTCAAACAGATTGCGTGCACTCAATCTAGTCAATTAAAGTTGGTTAAAAATGTGTCTGTGTATGATGTTAAACAAATAAACAGCATTACCCTTAGGATGTGTGGTTGGTTGTGAGGCTTGTAGTTACAGGGTTATATCACATCTAACTACACTGCCCGTCCCAAAAAAAAAGTTGCACACTGATGTTTTGTTGGACGGCCTTTAGCTTTGAGACCGGCACGCAGTCACCGTGGCATCGTTTCGATAAGCTTCTGAAATGTCACAACATTTATTTCCGTCAAGAGTTGCATGAATTCTCCGCCAAGATCTTGTATTGATGATGGGAGAGTCGCACAGAGTCTTCTCCAGCACATCCCAAAGATTCTCAATGGGGCTGAGGGCTGGACTCTGTGGGGGCCAGTCCATGTGTGTGAAGCAAATCTCATGCTTACTGAAGCACTCATTCACAATGTGAGCCAGATGAATCCTGGCATTGCCATTTGGAATATGTCCGTGCCATCAGGGAAGAAAAACTCCATTCATGGAAAGACCTGGGGCCTCATTTATAAACGGTGCGTACGCACAAAAGATGGCATACGCCAGTTTCTACGCACTGTTTGCGATTTATAAAAAACTAACTTTACGGGAAAATGTGCGGTCCTCCACGCAAACTCTGACCCATGCGTACGCACTAAGCACAAAAACGGGAGAGACGAGAAACTGCGACACCGTTGGCAGAAGGAAGAATGGAGAGAAATATGTGGAAATAATACCATAAATAGAATTTGACCTCTCATTTATCAAATATGAAGAATTCATTTTCACAAATTGATTAAAGTCAATCTTAAAATGATTAAACAAACGCCTGTTTGAGACTCCTCAGTGCACACAAAAACATAACTTGGAGAAAGAAAGAAATACGGAAATGTTATTGATCACCCCTCGATTATGTTCTCTTGTTAAGAAATGTATTCTCATAAATGATGCGGTAAGCAGGAGGACAGAATTACTTTAAACTGATGCCGTTTTGCATTTCTATAGGTTGTAGATACGAGCACGGTTTTATATACTATCACGTTTAATCGTGTTTTATGCCGTTTGCCAAGACTTGATAAGTCGCTCGTAAAACACAGGAGGTATGGAAACTAAGAACACCATATGTGGTAAATTGTACAGCTAATATAACACAACACATTGTATTTCCTTTAACTGGTGGATTATGGATATATAGTTGCTGATCGACAGCTGGAACACAAACCACCAAATACAACAAAATAATTCAGATCCAGTCGTCATGACTCCACTCCGGAGGGATTCCCCGATCATTTCTTACAGTTTCTCATCAAGGGGGTGTCTCCTGTCCCCGGTACAAAACACTGCCTGAGGAAGGCTATGTGTATTTATTTTGTCATCAACCTTTTTCGGACCACTTATTTATTTATTTTGGTGACGATCCGACCTCCATGCTGCTACTCTGGTTCAAACTGCATCCACCAAACAATATGATTTATCTCGACCTCCCCAAAATAACCAAAATCTGACACGGTGTGAGATGTCTTTTTTAGCTGTTCTGTCCTCATTTCCTGCGATCTTCTTCATGCAGTCAGTCAAAATGAATGAATCGGCGTTTCTTTGACTATTTATAGGTAAATATGGGCGTTACGTGAAGCCCGCAAAAGCTGCACCGCATTTCGAGTTGATTGTGATTTATAAAGGGAAACCAGCGTAGGATGTGCCGTACGCAAGTCCTGCGCCGGTACGCAGTCTTTTATGAATCGGAAAATGTCTGTGCGTATTTATTTGCTTTGTCCTACGTAAGCAACCTTCCCACGCCAATCCTACGCAAGGCTTTATAAATGAGGCCCCAGGTCATTCAGTATATTTAGGTGGTCAGCTGACCTCATTCTTTGGGAACATAACGTTGCTGAACCTAGACCTGACCAACTGCAGCACCCCCAGATCATAACACTGCCCCCCCAGGCTTGTATAGGCACTAGGCATGATGGGTGCATCACTTCATCCGCCTCTCTTCTTACCCTTAGGTGCCCATCACTCTGGAATAGGGTAAATCTGGATTCATTGATTTGGTTTTAATAACGCGTTGGACAGTTCTTAACCCAATCTCCTTAGTTGTTTCTTTGTTGATGTAGGCCAATCATTTGACCCTTCTGAAACATCCTTTCCACGACCACAGGATATGTCTTCCGACATGGTTGTTTAAGAAATGAGAAGCTACTCACCACATCAGCTGGGGTTAAATAACTTGTTGCCAGCTGAAACACATTAATCACTGCAGTAATTATCCAATGGAAGGCTCTTACAGATTTGCTTAATTAAATCCAGTTGGTGACAATTTTTTTGGAAGGGCAGTGTAAATAAATAATACAGACCTACATAAATCTTGAAATGTTGCGAGGCTGACCTGATAACGCTGGCGCTGGATTATAGCCGTTTGCAGTTTATGTTTCCTATTTCTCTAATAAATGCAACAGGCCAAACAAATATAAGAGATTCAAAATGCTTCGAAGTACATTTTTATTATTTATACCTTATTTCTTATTTGTTTTGAATCCAGGCACATGCACACACAAACCAAAAAACAAAACATACTCAAAAGCAAACATGCCCACAGAGTAATTCAGTTCTAGCTAAGGGCTTACTTTGTTTTGATCCCGTCAGTTTTATTTGAATGTGAGTGTGACAAATCCCTATGCTCAGGTCCTGTCTCACACTGGGACACACAGAAAGAGACCGGACGTTTTTACCAAGGACAATTTATCCAATGAACATAAAGGTGATGGGATTAAACATGTTCAGTCAAACCTGTTTAGGGGTTTGAATCTAATGGAGCTGCATGTCAACTAGGAATGCTTACAAGTGGGTTAACCTGAGGCCCAGCACAATGGGACACCTGCTTAATAAGGAAACATGAAAAGCTGCTTTACTTTGGTGTAAAGGGGATTTACTTTGAGATTCCAAAACACAAGCAGCAGGAGCTCGCTGCCTTTGTTCCTGTTGAACCCTGGGCATTCTTTGAGCAGGATCAATATTTGATTCTTGCGCGTGTCAGCAAATACAATTAATTTGTCAGCTGTCTTGGCGCTATATCAGGAAATGTTTGACTGTGACCCCCAGGCTCAGTGGGAGTGTGGTATGAAGGAGGGTATATAAATGTCCAGGCAACAAAAAGGGGCCACAGTCCGCCTGCCTGAGAGACTGTCACACACACACACACACACACACACACACACACACCAGCAGAGACAAGGTAAGACAGAAGACTCACTCTGAACATATTCACCATGGAGTGTGTTACAATGTACTGTAAGTCGTTGTTTTGATGTGTGTTTTTGGGAAACAAGGTATTTTTAAAGACTTGTTTTTTAAATTACAAATGGTTAACTAATGCTTGATTTTTTTTTTAAGACTAAATATCCCAAATGTGACACTTGAGCCCGTCGTCACACAGAGAAAAATGTCAAACGTTTAACTGCAATGATTGATTTTTCTTTGTTGACTAAATATCCCTACATTTCTTCATAATTTAAAGATATTTAAGGACAGATACAGCAATACTACTGGCTGGCCGAGAACTCAATGCTCCATAGTTTCTCTTTTTTATCTGGACTTATAACTTCTCACTGTACATTTTATATGTAACTTTAATTGAATATGTCATTCTTGCACACTAAATGTAAATAATATCCCAATTTGATATGGTGTTAGCTGTTATTTAGCCCGTCAATAGTGTTCTATTCATCAGATAGTTTACATATTTCTAGAGTCAACTTTTACATTTTCACTCTTTTAGTTCTGCTTTATCTTCTAATTTGAGATGTTTATATTGTATAATTGTTTATTTTCTATTCTTTTTTATTTCTAATTATGTGCGATACTTGTTTTACATGCTGATGCAATTTGAAAACATTTCCTTCTTCCTCTGCTGTGATAGGCCTTTTTTATTTATGAATTTTTTTTGGTTAACTGTTATTTAAAGTGTAGTGCCTGTGCCCTGCTGCTGCACAGTGCAATGTTTGTATTTCTATTTTATATTAAAAGTTTACTAACATGTCTAAATTGTACATCTTGACACAAAATCACTGTTCTTGTTTATTACATTTCTTTGTGCACGCTATTTTTCAGAACATGTATTAGTTATACTTTTAAAAGATGGTGGGGACACAATTGGCAGTATTCTGTTTGTGAAGTTATATTCAAACAAAGTCAAGATCTTTTATAGAGTCCTCTGCAGTATCAATAATGTCTTTTCTGATTGTCCAACAGATGCATCTCCCCGCTGTTCTCTCCTTACTGCTGGTCGTCTCCACTGCCCAGGCCTTCCAGTATACGGAGCTCGCTCAGTTCATTGACAGCCATCAGGAAGAATATGTGGAGGTACAGTATGATACTGTCAGTATCATTCTCCTTCTTTGAGCAATACCTAAAGACTCAATTCAGATTATTTGTTATAAATGTGCTTCCTCATTTATGCTTAAATGCTCTCTATACCTTTGTCTTACTGATTGTCAACACTGTAGTTTTGCTATATAGCATCCGTCATGAGAGGGTCACTCTCGCTGAGCTTTTTCCTGATGGAGATTTTGTTTTATGGTTGGGGGTAAAGCCAAGCCACTTCAGGCAAATATGTGATCTGTGGTATCGGGCTATATCAAAAACAGCCTAAACTATGAGTTTATTGTAGCTTTAACTATAGCTTTTTGAATTGAACTCAAGGAATCTAGGTCAATGTAGGTTTAAAAAGAATAACGTGGTTATCATTTCTTTTTTTAAAGATATTTATTCATGTTTTTGGTCAGACATTTACTTTAAAATAATAGTTAATTGAAAACAATTACAAGACGGCATATGATTCAATGCTGTCATCAGTCATTTTGGTAAACTTCTCAAATAAAAAACAACAGAAAACAGAAAAAAAACAAAAAACAACCCTAACAGCATAACGAACATCAGGTACCTGTTCCTATATACTCATTTAATCCAGCTACTGTAGTTACAATAACTATTCTCTAAGTGAGACCTTTTTCAGTGTTTTCCTTACTAAGTCAAAAGAAATAAAAATTAGAAACAGGAACAGAATCTGATCATCTTTGCTCATGTTCTGAATGTGTGTGTCTGTATGTTTGTGTTTTAGACTCTGCGGGACTGGGTTGCAATTGAAAGCGACTCCAGCAACGTGATGAGGAGGAAAGACCTGCATCGCATGATGGAGCTGGTGGCTCAGAAGCTGAGGCTGATGGGAGGGACAGTGGAACTGGTTGATATCGGGGAACAAGAGGTCAGTGACAGGCCTTCTCTCTTGGCCCCTAGAAGTTTATTTTAATAAATGCTGTGATACTGAGACATAAGAGCATAGCATATAATAATCACCCTAATTGGCTAAAAGATATTCAGTATTTCATACAGACTTGAGTCAGAGGCAAATGATCTGCTGGGTCCGAAAGGCAGTGGACTAAATCCACCTCCTAATTACTGACTGAGACACATGACAGGAAAAAACATCCCATACTTGGAATACTTTTTGAATATTCCTTTTTATATTTGTGAAGACCACAAAACGTTTCATTCATGAGAGCTAAACGGTCCCCAGTAAAGAGAAAAAAGAGAGCAAGAACAAGAAAACGTATTTTCTCATTTATGACCTGCTCGCTGCACATTATCCCTTGATTATACATGACACACTCTGCAGATCATTGAAATGTCTTTGATATTTAACCCTCCTATTGTCTTCGTTTCCCCCCCTTACTTTGGTGTTCGCGGTCAAATTTGACCGGTCCTGTTGTAACTGCTATTACATTAACACAAAAACCATTAATCATCACCAAATTTAATTTAACACCCTTTCAAACTGTAAATATTGTATCAGACTACTGGTATACATGAACAACTGCAGTAAATATGCAAAGAATAGACACTGAACATGTATTGCGTGTGCCAGGTGTGATCCATGTGGGGGGATGGGCACAAAAGAGCGGGACATGTGTCAAATTGTTCTGTGTGTGTGTGTATGTGTGTGCCAGGTGTGATTGACATGGGGGGATTGGGCACATAAGGGGGGGGGGACACATCTAGAGTGTATGTGTGTGTGTGTGGGTGTTTGTGTGTGTTTGATCTGATCCGGATGGTTATTAATTCCTTTTCTTTATGGCGGTCATTTTTCACCGGGAACACCATGGGTGTTACAAAGTTGACTAAATCATCCAAAATTCAATGAAAGTGGTGATCAGCTATTGTATATGTTCAAATGTCTACTGTGAAGGATATCATAAAGCCTTAATGCAATCGAATGTAAAACAAAAAAGTTATGATTGATGAAAGTAGTAAATCGGTCAGATTTGACCCGAAGACAACAGGAGGGTTAATAAATGTATAAACAGGTTGACATTGTGCATTGTGTGTACATCAGTACTGGTCAGGTGGTAGACGTTACTGTTGCAACGTGTGGAAGCAAAGCTCCTGAGAAGAGAGAACAAGATGAGGGGCTATCAGTAACTCTCCCTCCTGTGTGCAGCTTCCTGACGGACAGACGCTGCTGCTGCCTAAAGTGGTGACTGCCCAGTTTGGCACTGACGTAAACAAACACACAGTGTGTGTGTATGGTCATGTGGACGTCCAGCCAGCCAAGCTAGAGGACGGCTGGGCAACGGATCCCTACAACCTGACTGACATCAACGGTAACAGCCTTTAAGCCGTTTTGTCCCCAATGAATGCAGTGATAGCAAACTTCATTTTAAATCCAATAGGTCTTCAACGTTTACAAAGTTACGAAACACTTCAGCTTAGGCTAGTATAAAACAATGCTCAAAACATCTCAAATATTCATCCTGATGGAATGGCGGTGCATTGCGTTTGAATATTTGTATTCAGTATAGACACAGCCTATAATATAGATTAATTAGGAACTGAAACAAGCTGACACACACACGTAATACTGAGAAGATTAAATAATAATAATGTGCCAAACTTAACACCAGTTAAGGGGAAATTAAAGTAAAGTAGATCTTAACTTTCTTTTCAGTTTTTATTTCATATCACAATCATAATAACTAAACCTGATAGCTCAGTGAGGATCAGTACAAATGAGGGTTTGACTGACGTAGTTATTTAGAGACGAATAAGGACTTTTTGTACCAGTGTTAAAAATGAATAAACTGGAAAGCGTCACAATGTCCAGAATAATCCAAATGACTGATCGAATATATTAATCGATGTATATAATGACTCTTTTCCCTTTCAGGTCATCTTTATGGAAGAGGAGCATCAGACAACAAGGCCCCAGTGTTAGCCTGGATCCATGCAGTGGGGGCTTATCAGGCCCTCAATATGGTGAGACAGTCTGCAAACACTGTTATAGTTTTGAATGCTTCAGATAAAAGAATCCAATGTGGGCGCTGCAGAGGCAATGTGACCTTAAAGGACAAAGATCTAAAAGATATCTCTTTCTTGAAATCCTTCTGTGAGCAGACTCTTTGACTCGAGTAAAACACCGTCCTCCTTTCTGTCCACCAGGAGCTGCCAGTGAATGTGAAGTTTGTCATCGAGGGTATGGAGGAGACGGGGTCTAACGGCCTGGACGCCATGATCCTGGCTCAGAGAGACACCTTCTTCTCTGACGTGGATTACATCATCATCTCAGACTGCGGCTGGCTCAGCCGGCGGCCCGCCCTCACCTACGGCACCAGAGGGAACTGCTACTTCTTTGCTGAGGTTTTTTATGCATACACTCAAAACACAAAGACAAACTGAAACATCAAATTCTTAAACAACAATTTATTGTTTTAAAAAAACGTTGATTCTAATTCTCCAGTCATACACACACTCTAAACCTGAGTGTCACTGAGCTCTTTCATGTGTGCAGGTTGAAGGACCTAAACAGGACTTACATTCGGGTGTTTATGGAGGCACTGTGATTGAACCAATGACTGACCTCATTGGCATTCTTGGTAAGTGTTACACATTCATCTATTCATTCACTTATTCATTCATTCGCTGACAGGAAGATAAGACACTTACCTGCATCAGTAGGGCCTTAGCAATATGCCAGTTACCCAAACTCTAGAGACTAAGAAGAGGTGTATAAATAATAGCTATCGCTTTTCAGTTAACCTGTATATCATTAATGCTAATTGATAGCATCCTGCGCTAATATAATGCTAATAGCTATTCGCAATTCAGAGGCTGGTTGATTTTAACTGTAATTTTAAATCAATAAAATCTGGCACAATGGCACCAATGAGAACCCCTTGGAGTTGTGCACTCTATTATTCAGGCTTCTTTACTTACTCCTTCCTCTTTTGAGAGCCATTCCTAACTTGTGTTGTGTGAAAACCTAAGGCTTTGCAACAAGAGTTTATTAGAACGTCTGTACAGCAAAGTGATGCGTATCATTAAAAGTCCTAATGATGTTGTACAGCACTCACGGAATGCCTCATGTCCAATCAAATTCCCTCGTCAGAACTACCTGTTTTATAAAACACAATATTCAACACAAGTATTATCAGCACTTAGCCCCTTATTCACGATGTAACATTACATTATTAGAAGATCAAATACATTTTTCAGAAATATGTTCAATTGTTTAGTGTGTAGTTTAGGAGATGTTATAGTAAATCCATCCCAGCTCCCTTCTCTAAACTCCATACAGTGTGAGATTATTTAAAACCACAACAAATGTATTTTGTAATTCCTGGTTTCAGACACACTGATCAGTCCCAGTGGAAAGATCCTGATTCCTGGGATCAGGGAGGCTGTGGCTCCCCTTTCTGATGAGGAATGGAAAAGGTATCAGGACATCCAGTTTGACGTTGAGGACTACAAGAACAAGATCGGTGTCAGCCAGCTCATGTACAGCAATAAGGTAAGAGCTCAATCTTGAACATTGTTAAATTATACTACTTTAAAGGGCCTAATTTGACATTTAGAGCATATGAATGTGTCTGGGTCTGATTGGCTCCACAGCTCATAACACGGACATAGCTGGGCCAGCGGCTAGCAGCTAACAATGTAAACCTGAAAACAGCAGGATTACTTTCGAAATGTATTCTGTTACAAATACACCTTGTGTTTTACTATTACTTACAATTACTATTCCTATTCTTTATGTAACTAATGAAATACAGTTTTTTTTCTGTATTCTGATAACGTTACATGTAATCCGTTAATCCCCAAGCCTGCATAGCAGATCGTTGATTGCTGCTATAATTATGCACTGTTACAGGATGTGTATTTTGTAAATTGTGTTATTTTCTTTAATGTTTTTTTATGCATGCTTATTAGTTCATATTAAGGTGTCTTTGGCTCTTTTCTGCTGTAACAAATGTACATTTCCCCTCTATGGGTCGAATCAAGGTAGTCTGATTCTGATTCTGAATGTCGTTATAAAATCCTAAAAGCAAGCTGGACACAACAAGAAAAGGGATTATCATGGTATGTCTCCTGCAGGTTGACCTGCTGGCACACAGGTGGCGCTACCCCACTGTCACCATCCACGGCATAGAGGGGGCCTTCTCGGACCCCGGCACAAAGACTGTCATCCCGGCTAAAGTTACTGCTAAGTTCTCCATCAGACAAGTCCCAGACATGGACCCTGCTATGGTGAAAAAACAGGTACATGCCTAATGATGCCTAATGTCTAATGATGTCTTTTTTGAGAGAAAACGTATACTTTCTTTTCATAAAATATCTCTGCTGTTATCTTGTTGATTGGATACTTTAGGTAACAGACTACCTTCACTCAGTGTTTGCCAAGAGGAAGAGTCCCAATAAGCTGAAGGTCACCATGGTGATCGGGGCCAAGCCCTGGCTGGCTGACACTCAGCATCCTCTTTATGAGGCGGGGAAGATCGCTATCAAGAGAGGTACAGAACACCCCCCCACGACCACCTGACATTCACACCTCACACCGCACCAGAATCCTCTAAATGTGATTCTTTACAGACCCAAGATTTCTCACCAGATATATATTCTATAAACTCAATCTTGTTAGTTGTTCTTAGTTATTTGTAAGACTTTCCCCTTACAAATAAAACTAGATCATGGTAAGGATAAGTAATTCAGAAAGCATCTTAGCCCTGCAAGGAGTAGAGAGGACTTAAGGGTTAAAAGTTTCTTAAGCAGAGGAGAAAGAGAAAATGATATCCAAACACTGAATGTATCAAATGAGCTAATAAAACAAATAGGGTGTTATTGCTTTTGGCTTGTCTTTTATTCATTTTGGATTACCTTTATTGTTGATACCTGATAAATAACACTGTGATTTAAAATATACATCTCCTCCAGTTTTGACATGGATGCTGACCTGATACGAGAAGGGGGGACCATCCCCATCGCCAGGACCTTCCAGGACGTTTTGGGGAAAAGCATCATCATGATGCCCATCGGAGGCTTCGATGATGGGATGCACTCCCAGAATGAGAAAATGAGCAGGTTTGACTCCATTGGTTTACCACAATTTATTTTATTTCCAATTCATTCACAGTAAGCTCTAAATCAGTCTATTGGAGGGTTACTGTAAAACAACACCAGCTGCAGGGATTTATTCAGAAGGCAATCGGCAGGAGTATAACCCAGGGCTCACGCAGTCTTATCATCTCTTACATAATCCTTAAACCTTATATTATATTCCAGGATATGTTCAACACATTCATAAGGATAACATGAATCTAATGTCAATACAAATACGACAAAAGATCACAAAAGAGGGCTGAAATGCTTTCACAATGTCAGGGTGAATGTTTCAGCTCTAAAGTGTTGGTATTAGGGTGTTGCTGTAGATAGTGGTGGATGTTTCTAGAACTTGAGCTAAATGGAACTTGAATGTGGTTCAAAATGTAATCGATTTCCTTTCCAACTGTCTGATTCACAGCTGAAACAATTCAGGTGTTTAACCATTTCCTTCCTTTCTTCTCTCAGGTACAACTATATTGAAGGAACCAAGTTATTCATCTCCTACTTGAATGAAGTATCCCAGATTCAGAAGACCAGTGTGTGATGCTTCATTGAATTAAAAGCCTCCTAATACATTCCAGCTAACCATGAATCCACCTCCCTGACACAAGCCTGGGTTTATGTGCCAAAGTACCCATTATATTTCTATCATACATTTGTCTGTGTGTTGCCAAACTCTTATTTATCTCCATCTATCTATCTATCTATCTATCTATCTATCTATCTATCTATCTATCTATCTATCTATCTATCAGACTGTACTGTACATGTGTGTATGATGTAGTAAAAGCTGTACAATGCAACATCTGTGTATCATTTTTTTATTATAGAGAAGAGTGTGAAAATGTCCCTTGATGAGTGTCACAATAATGAGACAAAGTCACCAACGTTGTTCCTTTCGTTATGAGACATGTATTAACCACTCAAACATTTGTCGAGACCCGGCACATGAGCAATTGCAAAAAATGAGAGATAGAAGAAGAAAAGTGCATATGTATTGACCCTTCCTGTAAATACAGCAGCAAACTACGGGACACAGTTCCCTCTCTCCAGTAGAAACAAGAACAGTCGTACCTTTTCAATAAACATGGTGTCACATTTAATAAAGAATCAGTGCAAAAACTGAATTTCGATATGTACAGGATCTGTACTGAAGGACGTCCACAACCATTGTCAGAGTTTACTCTACCAAAGACAAAGTACTGTTCTGACAAATACATTGGCTTGAATTTGGCTATCAACATTTTTTAATCGCCCATAGAAGATGTGCTTACTTGTTTTCCATTTGTTTCTAGAATCAAAAATATTGTCTTATATTCTCGATACTAAAAAAATATACATTTCTGAAATGTACTCTAATGATGGCACATCAATCTGTAGGGAAACAGCTTTGAACACAATTTGGATCGTCGGTATAGATCATTATAACTCCATTCTCCCTGATTGTAGACATGTTGGCTATCTTCTGATCTTCAGACATCCCAGCAGGAAGTAGTAGGGAGGGTCCCTGGGGTTGTGAAGAAGCCGTGTGTGACGCTTCAGCGGCCTGATTCACAACACCAGCTGACCCTCCCCACCAGAGATCACAGTTACTGCCTTCATCTGTGAGCGGCAGACACTGTGGAGCCTCAGATGCAGATGAGGTTCATCCACCTTTATTCAATCATTTATATAGAGACCATCCATCGTCTTTATTGGCCTTCAAATACTCACCTCCTCTGTATACTCCTCTGCTACCACTGTATGACTGACTGTAGTCCTCATGTGGTTCAAAGAGAGACACACACTGGACACGGAGGGTGCAGTACACAGAGTGTCCACTGGAGGGAGCTCTCTGCTTCACAGGCTGATCAACTGATGACAGGCGGCCTCACACCTGACTAAACCTGCGGGAAATAACACAAGCATAGAAAAATTTGTGTTGACTTTTAGTTTGATATCGGACACAAAATCGCGTATCCTGGGTGAAAGTCCTTTGATTTAGTTTGAACCTTCCCAGTAGCGGTTCAATACAAATGTTACTGGGGGGGGCCGCTCTGGGGCCAGTTATTAGAGGAGCACATTTAATGCGCAACAAAACACAGAGACTGTGTTACAATACGAAACGTGCTCGAGATTTATAACATTTTAATTCAGTATAGTCACAGCCCACAAAAAAATATGAATATGATTATTGGTGTTTGTTTTAGTAACATAATATTACTCAATGTCTAAGTTACAATTTTATTTTATTATATTATTCAAATTAAACAAAGAAATCCAGTTTTTTCCACAACACAGTCTTTACTGCATCTCTATCATTTTTTCTTTTGGAGGGGGGCCACAGGGGGGTCCAAGCTCAGTTACAGGGGCACTGCCCCCTGTTGCCCCCCCTAGAACCGCCCATGAACCTTCCACCACAAAACGTAGTCTTTTGCACTGTTAACATAATGGCATTGGCGTTGTCTAATAATGACACAGTGTGTCAACTTTGGAGTTATTTGAAAGCCCAATTATATTGTAATGGATATTGTATTCTTTGGAAGTGATAACAGTTCATATGAGTCATGTCAGTCCAGGCTCTCGCAATATTACTATTTTTTTATCTTACTGAATAAAGCTGCATTAATAGATTTGAAACACTGACATTTGATCACCTGATGAAGGAGATGTGGCAGCACACATTATCATTCATTAGTAAATACCTGGCTCACTAAAGGCTCCACGATGTTCAGCAGTTAGGTTTTACAATTGATCATTTATTAATATGAAGGACCACAGCACCATGCAGGACTGGGTGAATCAAACCAGATCGGTCACTGAATACTGTTTTCACTTTTTGGCTTATGCTGTTTTTTTATCTGAGGATTCGCCCAGTTTTTGAAATAGGGACTTCTGTTATTATGCCTGCACCAAATATGATTCCATTACAAACATTTGAGTTCACCCACCCTAAAAAAAATGAAATGTTCAGCAGGTAGTTTGGTGCAGAGCAGTTAGTGTACGGCTGTGTTCCACTATTGGCATTTATTATTCAGCAAATTGCATTTTCTGGACAGATGCAAAAATAATCCTATAAAGACGAACCACCCCAACCGTTACATTAAAGTGTTTTCCTTCTGTCTGACCATCCTCCATTGGTCAGGCCTTTACTAATTCCTCCACAAGCTGCAGTGAAACACTCAACAGAATATCCCAGCAGTACATTTCTCCTAAGCCATTTTGATCTGGTTCAGCATTTGAGCCAAAAGAAAATTACAATTTTGCGGTTTCAATTAAACCATGGGACGGCCCATCAGAGGCTCTTGGCCCTGAGGGCTGGTGTCCTGCAAGCAGATAATGTCACCGTGCATGATGGATCGAAACCTCTTATTACAACCAGGATTGAAACACCTCGGCAAGGAAGAGCAACAAGATGTCCAGAATGTACGGTGGCCCTGAAGAGAAGAACTCAACGGCAGCAGAGAAAACTCAAATCCTAAAAGCAAATCACAATCCCTTCAGCCGTTGTGTTTCTGTTTTGACAGTTGTGTTTTCAGTGTGTGTTCTGCATTGGCAGTCTGCATTTTGTCCCCATCCCCTCTCAGTGCACAGCCCCCCCCCCCCTCCCCTTGGTGCGGCTGTCCATCCTTGGCTGCTTTCAGACAGCTGTTTTCACACTGCACTTCACAGAGAGGCTGGGGAGGAAAGTGTCCGCCTGCTGCCGGGAAATAAAGCAAGCTTTGTTTATCCTAATGGTGTCGTGACCATTGTGTTTGAGTCAGTCATTTAGACGCTGCCTGACACTGATTCATTTGAAATGAGGAGGACGAGGCAAATAAGAATATGAAGGTGGCTATAACACTTCTGGGAAATTAGGAAACAGGATTGCTGCATTCAGTCAGGTTGTTCATTAAGTCCTTTGTGATTATTTAAATACTAAATGTATTTTCTGAGTATATTATCAGTCTTTTAATTGTTTGAAGTTTACCACCATTCTTCAGTAACTTTCATTGCTTAAGCAGATGTTTTCCTATTTTGAGGTTTCTTTGTTGTCCAATTCTGACTGAGGTTTCCAATCACATACAGCTTTACTCTGTAACTCTAATAGAGCCTTGTCTGCCTGATTGACAGCGAGGCATCGGGGGTGCAGTCTGTGAGCAGACACAGCGAGGCTGAGCCAGATTGAGGCAAGAATTTCCATCCCAAAATAAACGGTAGCCTTATCACAGGAGGAGCAGCTGGCTGCTGGACAGGTGACGGAGCTGATGCTGACAGCATGGCTCGGTTCTGCTGATAGACGTTTGAATTGCGGTCAGCGTAAAGTCAAGAACTGTATGGGAGGGGAGGACTCAGCTTATTTGGAGTTGGGGTGACATGCATTTTGCCTGATGAAGTTCAAAATATTGAAAATAAATGTATTTTTGTGTGCAGAAAAGTATTTGAGACTGTCAAGCTGCATTCACATGATACGTGGTAAAACGGCTCTGCACTGACACGCATGGTTCCATACTAGGCAAGAAAAATGAATGATCACTACTTCCATTGAATTATGCGTGTTTTACTTAAATATAGCATCTAGTGTCAATATGTGCTGCCCTTAAAACAGTTCAAATTGTTTGAAAACATAAAACTACATTTGACACTTCTGTGGTAAATCATCAAGTTGGATCCGTCTTATCTGAAAAAAGGCGACATTTCTGAATTCATTTGATTTAACTATGATGCCTAATTTTGTGTAAATAAGGGTCAATTGACGAGAAATTCAAAAAACGAAAGTAAAATCTGTCGTAATGAGTTGGAATAAAGTTGGTTTAAAAGGTGTTAACTAGATTGTGTTGATGATTTTGACATTGCGTACCTAAGACAGGTGACAGGAAGACACACAGACTGGGTCCAAATGCTAAGAAAGGATGAGGAGGAAAGATTGCACATCATTTTTTCTCTAAGAAGTTTTCTTTGAGGGCCATATGAATCGTGACTTTGTTTTCTAAGAAGGCAACTTTTAGCTTAATTAGTTGCTAAAATGTGTCGGGGTGTGTGAGGATCCCCACGGCAGAGCAGCAGCAGTGAGCTCATTAGAGGAGCCACTGGGCTGTGTCTGTCGCTCTGCATGGGCTGACAGATGTCTCTGTGGCTTACACACACACACACACACACACACACACACACACACACACACACACACACACACACACACACACACACACACACACACACACACACACACACACACACACACACACACACACACACACACACACACACACACACACACACAAATTAGCGTTTTAATTTCTAAAAGGAAGGCACCTCATCTCTCCTGCCTGAAGTCAACATTAAGTAGATTAGAGTAGTTAAAAAACAAAAAACTATGTCTAGTAGATGTCTTTATGGCTCCGACACACCCAACAGACATCTGAGAACGAGGGGAGACTGCTTCTGGGCCACAAAGTCACCCATTTAATGTATGTCACTAAATGATAAGCTTTATAAAAATGCAAACACAATGAATACATTTAGAACTAGAGAATGCAATTCCTGAAGAAATTGCTAGTGGGAATGCTTTATGCTGAAAAGCTGACGCTAAACTGCTATGCTGAAATGTAATGTGTAAGAAGAAAGTGAAGAATTTAGATTGAAATGATACATGAACACTGGGGGCTTGAATGTGTGATGAGTGAAGAAAAGAAAGTAAAAAGGCTTGGAAAAGCAGCAGAATATTTGAACTGCAAACTTTTGAACTAACTTGATGGTGAATGATCTGTCGCCATGGCAACGGCATTTGATGACACCCCATAATACGCT